AATTAAGCTGGAGCTAAATCAATACTGTGACTCACCCTTGTTTTATATTTATTTTCTTTATTTATATTGATATTCAAAATGAAGATGTATGGCGTTTATAGATGTGTAGAGCTTAAGAATTTCTGCCCTTGTCATGGAATTTACATTTTTAGATCCAGAAGAAATGCATATAATTCAACCTAAAAACTATAAACAAGTTCTACTCATTTTGCTTTTCTATTTTTCACCTGGAAATGAAATTTTTTTTTTTTTTTAAAATAGCCCAACAATTAAGTAGTCCAAGTTTTGTGTATCTAAGATGTTGTTGAAGTTGACAGAATGGATATTGTTGTGTGCTATGACAGGTCTATGCCTGAGTCTAAGGAATTTATGTCTGAGTCTAAGGAGTTTTGTCTGAGTTGAAGGAGTTAATGTCTGAGTCTAAGGAGTTTAGGACGTGTCTCTGCCTGAGTCTCACCCTGAGTCTCTGCCTGAATCTAAGGAATTTATGTCTGAATCTAAGGAGTTTATGTCTGAGTCTAAGGAGTTCATGTCTGAGTCTAAGGATTTTATGTCTGAGTCTAAGGAGTTTAGGACGTGTCTCTGCCTGAGTCTCACCCTGAGTCTCTGCCTGAATCTAAGGAATTTATGTCTGAATCTAAGGAGTTTATGTCTGAGTCTAAGGAGTTCATGTCTGAGTCTAAGGATTTTATGTCTGAGTCTAAGGAGTTTAGGACGTGTCTCTGCCTGAGTTTCTGTCTGAGTCTCTGCCTAAATCTAGGGAGTTTATGTCTGTGTCAAAGGAGTTTAGGACGTGACTATGCTGAGTCTATGCTGAGTGGCACAGGGAGACTGCTGCCTCTGCTGTAGGTTAGAGCTACATGTTGCACACTTACTCAGGTGGAAACTTCAAATATTTCACATGTGTTTAACATGCCCTGGGGTCAGGCCTTGCTGCATTGGGGCCAGCCTGTAGTCTGGGGAAGATAATAAACATGGCTGCTTTCATTTACTTCAGGGTTAAAAAAACAGGTGGGTTATTTTGGGTGAAATTGATCTATTAGGATGAAATGTATTCAGGGTATGATAAGTATGTGATAATTCACAGCATGTGAACATGTGGGGGGGATTTCTATTTAATTTTTAATATGCTTCTTCATTATAATTAAGATAGGGAATTAGCTTTATGACTTTAAAAAAATAAGCAATTTGAAAATCCGAAACCATGTTGCACTTTTAAAAGAATGTTATTCTTTATTTACCGACCGAGACTGAAATTAGTGATGGATTAGTAACTGGTAGTTGAGGAAAATAGTTGGACCATTGTGTCAGTTGGGGTTTACCTGATCAAGGTATGACAAAGGGTGTGAAAGAAGGGCTTGGTCTAGATTCTGCTCACATTTGTCAGGGTAGTGAGAATCTACAGCAAACAAAATCTCTTTAACCTTTCTCCTCCCTCACCTGGGGGCCAAACAAACAGGGAGCAACATGGTCTCGGAAGCCATAGTCTTGGTCTACAGATGTACAGTCGGCTGTGACAGAGAATTCAGGGAAACATGGTTCAACTGGTGTTTGTCTGGCCCAAACTGTTTGTTGTGAAGTTTTGCACTTACAAGATTTCAATAGAAATGTTGACATTTGTACTATTATGGGTTGTTCTTCCATTGTGTACATTATACCTTTGCAGAATTGTTTGTTTTAAAGTTTTAAAGGTTAATAATAACAGCAACAAATGTGTTAGGATGGGGGGGGGGGGGGGGGGGGGGGGGAACGAAGAAGGGAACACTTGTCTCAAGGTTAGGAGAAACTTTACCACTGCTTTCAGTATGTTTAGTTTATGATTCATATCAATCAATTAAGAAATATAGGGATCTAGCTGGTATTTGACTGCACTGAAAAACACCATGATGAGGAGGAGCAATCAGTTTGACTTTACGCTGCTTCAGCAATAGTCCAGCAATATCACAGTAGGGGACACCAGAAATAGGCTTCACACATTGTGCCCATGTGGGGAACAATCCCAGGCCTTTCGCATGATGAGCAAACACTTTAACCCCGAGGCAACCCGATGATGATGATGATGATATTGATGTTGATGATGGTATTGATGTTATTGTTGATGATGATGATGATGATGATGATGATGATGATGATGGTGGTGGTGATGATAAGTAAATAAGAATAGTTTATATTCCTTCCCCAGGTGTCAAGAGAGTCAAACAAAAAATGATGTAAAACCCCATCCATTCTTTCTGTGGCTGGCAACACCTTCCACAGTGAAGAAATACCTCCTCAATCTGACAGATGTTTACCTGTGTTTCATGTTTATGACTTCCAGAATAGATAGACATGGATGAAAGCCCCAAAAATGATTGTTGTAGAACAGTTATTCCTGAGGAATTCATTGTTTATGTGGTCAGCGGAAACCAGGAACCACTGGCTCTGGTATTGTAGTCATCCCAGCTGGTGAACATGTCTTCCCTAGCTGAATCACCTACTGCCCTATCTACTGTATGCTCCTGCCGACTCCAGTCAGTTTCTGGGAAGCCGAGGCCACATTGGGCCATGTAGACTTGCACAAGTCTCTAAGGCAATAATTATTAGTTTATGTCATAATTTCTTGATTATATAAGTAATAAGAACAAGTTGTCCCTATAAGAGACCTGGCATCCGCATATCTAGACTTGCCTATTATAAGGATAGAATTACTATACACCCATGGACTTATCATTCAGTACAGCCTTGGAGCAAGGCTACGGGCCATGCAATGACGTGCTTCTGATAGCACTCGCTGCCAGAGAAAGTTCTTAAAGTGCAATGGAAACCATGGTATATTTACGTAGTTACTCCCCATTCAGCAGGAGGGGCTCCCTCTAGTGTCAGATCCTGCTTCATTCCTTGGTGTGTCTGGTCGTCTTCCGTCTGTCATGACGTCTGCTTGCTGGATCTACGTTTCTTTCGTTAATTTTTCAGGGTAAGATTTGATTGGATAATGAAAGTGTATGTATGCTTTGTATGGAATTAACTTTAATTTGTGGTTAAGTTATTTCAAGTCAAAATACAATGAGATATCTGAATCATTCCAAGCATTCTGAGATTTCCTATAAGATTATGTGTTATATATCCAGAGGTAATACCAGAACATTCTTCAGCAGGACTGTTCAGTCTGGGTTCAGGAATTACAATTAGATTTTATCTAGAACACTTCTATCACATATAGAGGATGCAGGTGTTTTGGCAGAGATTCCACTGATGCGTCAAACTGTTGCATGTTTGCCAGCGTACCTTGGATGTCATAACATATATACATCCTGGTCTTCATTATAGGATCGGTACATTCTTACAGAAATATGTGGGTTTGTGACCTACACTTGTCAATGGTGGGAATTAAGTGATGTAATGGTCCACCTTATGAAGTGGTTCAGCTTGTACTGCTCTGAGGCAGACCTGCTGTGGCAGGCGGGTGTGTTTTAGCAGGTTGGGTGTTGATGGGGATAAATGTTTCGTCAATCAGAAATCAGTCACACTGACATTTGAAGGTTTGCCAACTACAGTATAATTGGGAGAAAACATTTGAAATCTGTTTGCATAGACATAGAACATCCTGCTGTAGGTGTCAGAAATAAGGTCAAAATATTGGGAGTATAAATTGATTTGTACAGGACCTGTCTTGCTTGCATGATGGTTGTATAATGGCTGGGTGCATCAAGGGTGTTATGAATGGCTGGATGCATTGAGTGGTGTGAATGGGTGAGGTGAATGTGTACAGGTGATGCTCTGATAGTTTGCTTTACTTGGCTTATAGATGGATAGAATCTATTTCATAACAGTTTCACCTGTTATCTCTGTGTTGTGTGTAGTTTATGAAGCATAGAGAGGTTGTCAGGGATGTGTTTATGATATACGAGAGCATGAGAACTGGTTCAAGATTTGGCACATGGAAATAGAACTTGTTTGCTTTTTTACCTTGTCATCATAAAACTGATTATGCTAATTAGGTGAATATACACCACTAAATATTAAACTTTAAAAAGTTTCAGATGTCATTTTGACAGGGTCTTTGAATAACAAATTTGTGTTTGTAGAATCATAGTTAGATGTAAGATTCTCTGTTGTCTGAGAGTAGGACAGTGGGGAGGTCCGGTAGTTGCTTCATGTCACATGTAGGTTTGATTCTCAACATGGATAAGTCAAGTTTCACTTGATTGTCTCTGATGTCCGTGGTGTCAAGTCCCACTCTCACCCACTCTTGCATTGTGTAATATTATCCATCAACATAAAGTGCATTAAATCTTGCTTTTTGCGCATGTACGTTTATCAGTTTTCAATGCTGATGTGTGACTTAAGAAGATATTACTTTATGATGCTTCATTGTGGAAAACAAGATGGTTTGACATCTGTTTTTCAGGACATGACAAATTGAAACAATAGGCTGACTTCAGTGAAGCTTCTGTGTCTGGTTATTATTTCTTACGTTTTTTGTTCATTTTCTTTTATAATTCACAGTATACAAAAGAATGGCATTGTGTATTCATAGCTTTCGGCCATGGGAGCCATGCCAACTTACACTTGTCAGAGTGAGTGAGTGAGTGAGTTGGGTTTAACGCCGCTTTTAACAGTATTTTAATTATATCACGGCGTGTCAGCTTAATGTGGGAGGAAAGCCTGAAGTGATGCAGGTCTCAGACGTTTACCACTTCAGTGAAACCCACGAGCACGGGTATTACACTTGTTAGAGGGGTACACAAAGTATGTGATCTTGATTACCAGTTGTTGGACTTTCATTTTTGTGGAAGCCTTGGTATATTTGTTATATATATAAGAACCTTGGAATTATGGAATATCTGAGCCTCAAATGTTGAAACTCCCTTGCTTGGGACTGACAACACTCATTCACTCGGGACAGATATTCCCTCATTGGTTCTCTAATAAGTGGAGTTCACTTTCATCCTGGACTATGGGCAGCATCTTTTGTATGCCAAGGCAAGCAGTTTTCTATATCCATATTGTATTTGTTTCAGAGTCAGAGTGTGGATAAACGCCATGCAGTTGTGACCTATGATCATTATCTCTGCCGGTTCAAGATAAAGGATTTGAGCACAGCTCATGGGGTAAGTGAAGTGCTGGACGTCTACACAGAATTTGTCCTTTTGATTGCAGGGTTACATTCCATATAATGCCTTGGTAATCTATGATCCTATGTGGAGAAGAACAAAGCATTACTATGTACTTTTTATGTGCTTATCCGGTATTAAATCCACTTCCAGGTGACCAGTTAAATTGATTTATTGCTAGATATGAAGCAACTCTGCTTGTCTCCAACTATGGATAACTCAATTCATCAGAATACTTCTCTAAACTATGGTCTTGTATAGGCACTCTGCTTGTCTCCAACTATGGATAGCTCAATACATCAGAATACTTCTTTACACTATGATCTTGTGTAGACATTCTGCTTGTCTCCAACTATGGATAGCTCAGTACATCAGAATACTTCTCTAAACTATGGTCTTGTATAGGCACTCTCCTTGTCTCCAACTATGGATAGCTCAATACATCAGAATACTTCTCTACTCTGGGGTCTTGTATAAACACGGTGCTGCCTTGGACTATGGATAGCTCAATACATCATGTTTCTATAGGGCAAAAGCCCTAAATAAAGCAAGCCTAGATTTTCCTCAGGTTCAGGATCTCCCATCTCACTGGGGCTCCTTTTCACTTAAAATGGAGTTCTTTGTTTCTGTCAAAATTTTAGATTTTCAAGGACTAAGTGTTAGTCTATTCTCTACACTATGGTTTTGTATAAGCACACTGCTTGCCTCCAACTATGGATAGTTCAATACATCAGAATACTTCTCTACACTGGGGTCTTGTATAAGCACACTGCTTGCCTCCAACTATGGATAGTTCAATACATCAGAATACTTCTCTACACTGGGGTCTTGTATAAGCACTCTGCTTGCCTCCAACTATGGATAGCTCAATACATCAGAATACTTCTCTACACTGTGGTCTTGTATAGGCACTCTGCTTGCCTCCAACTATGGATAGCTCAATACATCAGAATACCTCTCTACACTGTGGTCTTGTATAAACACTGTGCTGCCTTGAACTGTGGATAGCTCAATACATCAGAATACTTCTCTACACTGGTTTTGTGTAGGCGCTCTGCTTGCCTCCGACTATGGATAGCTCAATACCTCAGAATACTCCTCTGCGCTATGGTCATGTGTAGACATTCTGCTTGTCTCCAACTATGGATAGCTCAATACATCAGAATACTTCTCTAAACTGTGGTCAATACATTAGGGTTTGACATGGTCACAAGTTCTACAGTTCATAAATAAGGAAATGTTTTGAGGACTTGTAGTTTCTTGACGCAATGTACACAGTCAACTTTTAGAGATGAATTGTGGACTAGATTGATTTTGGTCATGGTGCCTACCCTGGTATTATTTCATTTATCCAGGATTTATGAGGATTCACTTTTGTTTGTTGGAGAGTAAAACCACACGTTATGAGGCCATATTCCATTTAAAGGATGTCTGTCAGATCCCTCTAGGGTATGCATGAGAGCGTATCTTGAAGCCTTGCTGGGTGACACTCCGTACATAACAGTATATCAGTGTACCCTGAACGTGGAGGTGAGGAAAGTCTGGCTGCCTGACAAGTCTGAACACAGACAGGAACTTTCCTCTGACCCATCTATGTGATAAACACCAAGTAAAGACGATCTTCCTACTGGGGACAGCAAATTGTCTACTTCACGGTGAAAGAGAATGTGACAGGGGGTGTTGTGTGTTAAACCTGTTATTCCACCCTGACAACAATGTGCTAACTGTGGGGACTGGGGAGGCATGGATGGGGTCACAAGATTTGGGTATTTACCATGTAGGGAATACGATCCTTTATGTCATAGGCGATAACTGGTATTAGCTGTACAGGGCCGTGCTGTTTCCGGATTATGGTGTCATTTAATTGACTGTCACAATAACAGGTTTCTGCATATTGTACGGAGCAATTTGTTGAAAGTTTCGTTATTGACTTTCTATGGCGATTCTGGGCAGAATAAGGCTTTTGTATTCCATGTCATATGGTTGAGTGAGTCAGTGAGTATGATTTTATGCAGTTTTTAGCAATATTCCAGTCATATCAAAGCGGGGCACACCAGAAATGGGCTAAACGCATTGTACCCATGTAGGAAATCGAAACCAAGTCTTCAGTATGACGAGTGAACGCTTTAACTTCTAGGCTGCACCACTGCAACCCGTGTCATGAGAACTGACTAGAAAGAGGATTGGGTGGCTGCAATGTGTGATCTGGTTGTCGTCTAGTGGCAGGAATCATTGCTCATGCTATGACCCACTGGTTTTGTCTAGCCAGGAATTGATTACCGTCCATAGTGATGACGCTTTGTGTTGATGAATGTAGTATGGAACAAAAAAAGGTCTTTAACATCATAAAGTCATATACTCGTACCTCATTTCAAATGTAGAATTTTCTGAGGGATACATATATATCCTGTTTGACATATCTTACTATAAACTTTTCAATTGTCCAACTAGCCCTGTGTAATAAATATCACCCTGTTCAAGTATGTGTTTGAAAGTTGTGTTAATCACTCACCTTCCCCAAGTTTCGACTGAAAGTATTTAAACCATGAACCATAACCTTTGTAACAAGAAAACCACTGAAACCAGATATAGACCTTTACATAGGCCTTACATAGGCCTTACATCAGCCTTACATCGGCCTTACATCAGCCTTACATCCGCCTTAGAATGCCTTACATGGACCTTAGATATCACACAAAGAAGCACCAGTATGGCTGGTATATATCAGTCTGTATATCACAGACAAGCACCAGTGTGGCTGGTATATATCAGGCTGTATATCACACAAACAAGCAAGAGTATGGCTGGTATATATCAGGCTGTATATCACACAAACAAGCACCAATATGGCTGGTATATATCAGTCTGTATATCACAGACAAGCACCAGTATGGCTGGTATATATCAGGCTGTATATCACACAAACAAGCACCAGTATGGCTGGTATACATCAGTCTGTATATCACAGACAAGCACCAGTATGGCTGATATATATCAGGCTGTATATTACACAAACAAGAACCAATATAGCTGGTTTATATCAGTCTGTATATCACACAAACAAACACCAGAATGGCTGGTATATATCAAGTTGTATATCACACAAGCAAGCACCAGTATGGCTGGTATATATCAGGCTGTATATCCCAGATATATTACCACCCTGGTATACGGACAGTGTTGGTTATAACATCTTGTATAAACCATGTCAGGTTTCTCGGGGAGCCTGTCTCTGCAATATAAAGCCTGTTCCTTTATGTCTTGAAATGACAGTGGGAGATTTATCAGTTCAGAGAGTAAATCTTCACAAATTACTATCTTTCATAGGACTGTTTTTTCTTAGAACCCTGAAATTACAGGAAGATGACTCATATTATAGGATTGCAAATATGTGGTTGGTTCAATCACGTGGTATCAGAATCAGACTATTGCTTTCTCTAGATGCGTTTCTTTTAGTAAAGACAAAGATGGGTAATTTACAGGATAAAGATATTTTTGGCATTTGTAACTGAAGTTTGGCAATAAAATTGTCTTGATCATATCTGTATCATGTATTTTGGTATCCATCAGGATATTTGGAACAACACAAGATTGCTTTACATTTCATGAATAATTCCCTGTGTTATGTTAAAGCAGACATTGGTGTTGTGCTGGGAGAGGTTTAATAGATAAGTAATAACCAGTGGATAAAAGTAGGATATTTCACATTTCTATTTTACAAAGAATTTTCAAAGTGTTTCTCTTTTCACTGCAAATATTCAAAGTAAAATAAGCAAGTTTGTAATTCAATCTTCCAAGGTAAATAGATTTTGTTTTAAAAGCATTGTCATGTGTACCTGAAAATAGTGGACGTTATTCGATATTGTGAAAATAAACATCAGTCCCCCATGGCTGACAAGGTGCACGGTGCCTGCTGTTGTTCAGGTACATTGTAACGCTACCTGTCGGCTCTGCGCCAAATACTTCACACTGGTGTTCCCATATGACTCATAGCTTATATCTGAAAACTAGAAATATTCCAAAAAAAATAGATTGTGAAGAAGAATTCTATTCCTGTGATTATCCTACCTCTATTACATTATAGCCATTAAGCCTGTGTGTTGGCCATCATTATTTTGTGAAGATGAATTCCATATTTCTGTCCCATTTGAAAAAGTATTTATTAATTTCTTTGAAATAATCAATGTCACCACTTTGTCTAAATTTGAAACCTGTATTCTGTGGATTGGTGGTGATATTGATAGCAAATTTCACTTTTAAGTGTGAATAATTGATGACAAGTTAAATGCCAGCCCTCACTCCATGCGTGTTACATTATTGATATCCAAATTCAACAATAGCCTTCAAAAGTGTTCAATATGGCAGATTATAGACCGGGCAATATATTATATATAACCCACTTGTCAGTGGTGTAGCTGACCAGCTGTGAGCGTGTGCCGATAGGTTATCACTTTCTAATCAGCCCTGATGATGTCATATAGGCATGACTGGGTAGTGTGAACATATGACTCCCGCGCTTGCAGGAGTTCCGCGGCAGTGGAATATTGTCAACAGTACAGCATGATGGAGGAGGACACCAGGAAATTTTGGCAACTTGTAAGTTTGGAACTTTGTTTATGAACCTTGAAATGGATGCTGTATAATGCATGTATTGATCATGATGCCTCTTTCCTTGTCAACTGGTTTCATGATTTGCTATTGACATTTTCCTGGTTGTGACAGGCCATTGTAACTGTTTGTAGACATGCATCTCCATACATTGCAAAGTCAGAACTGTGAGGCAAGTCAACAGTTGTCATTCATAATCAACTAGCCGGGAGAAGGACATAAAAGGAATATGTGTTTAAAAGCATAATTTACATGTGCTAATATTGATGTTATCAGTTTGTGAATGGTCTCGTGTGTTTACGAGCAACACTTGCAAAGTACAACTTGACATTTCAAAGCTTATAATCATATTTTCACATGTAGGTAAGTCATTGTGACCTTGTAGCAGG